TTGTCGAAACAAAGGACAATCCAGCCGGCTGCTTTCGACTGTGACAAAGCCCTGAAGGCCTCGAAATGTCACTCTTTGTCCCCTCGATGCGTGTGTTCCGCCCAATCATACTGTTGAAGGGAAGAATGAACATATCGCATATCATGTAAAGCGCCCTACATGCCCAACATTAGGCTATCAACCTCAACTCGTGGCACCTTCACCCCTTTCCCGCCTAGACGCCCGACTGCTGTCATCCTGCTCCAATTCTGTCACCATCACTCTGTTCGCCATGGATCCCCTCTTCGACCTGCCCTCTCTCGGGACCTCTCGCCAGTTCAACGTCATGACCGACGAGGAGCGCAAGGCTCTGTTGACTATGAGCGCTATGGACAAGACTGGGTGGGCACCTGAATCGTTCAGAGACGGTCCTTGGGGTATCGCCGACGATCCGCAGCACCCGTGGCGACACAAAGACGTGCCGGGCTTCTTAGGCAAGCTTGGCTACGGCACCGTGCATAGAATGCCTGAAATCATCGACGAGAGGAGGGCTAGAGCATTGGGAAAGCTTTGGAGGGACGAGGTTTGGGGCGCCTTTCTTCCTCTGAACGAAAACATTAGACGAGATGGGGATCTCATCATCTATATCTTGGCCAACGAGCAAGTCCTTCCCGACCACGAAATCTCCACGTTGCTGTCCAATGCCTGGGAAAATACCAAGAGAATGCCTCTCTACGCACCACTGTTTGGTCAGACTTCGGTCACTGAAGACGCTCCCGAAGGTTATCGCGATTACCTGAGTCACTGGCGAGGCACCGTCCGACACGATTGCAAGGCAGAAGCTGATCCCAGCAGCAACAGCCAAAAAGCAGACAAGGCTAGCTGGACACGCCCGCTGCTTGATGTCAAGATCAAGGAGCCACAGATATTCAACGACTTTGTCGCTCGCAACATGCTCGCACTCACTATCCCGTGGCTTCACACAAAGCATCTCCTCAATCGGCACACGCTCTGGAGGGTCATCATGGATCGATGTACTGCGCAGCCATACGACTTGAGTCGAATAGACTGGATTGCATCCCACCTTGCTCGCTCAACACATCTCGCCGTTCCACCGTATCGAGATGGATGGTTCATGGGGTTCCCGAACTTAGAGATTGGTAACAAGTATTGGACCAGCCTCGAACAGATCAGCACCCAAACCATACCCACTGATGCTCGGGTGCACTGGCATGGTCTCAATATTATTGACCCAGGCCCTAAAGAGCTTCGAGATCCTCGCTTCGTGGCCCTGCGTGATAGCGGCCTCGTGTACCCTTGGGGCGAGGGTCTCCTTCTTCTCCAGTGTCAAGGAGCTATTTCTCGCTTCATGGAAAATCTAGTCCCATCTCTTCTTGAAAGACTAGCGTTATCTAACGAATGGCCAAAGAAGATGCTGAAGCCGCTGATGAGCATAGATCCCTATGCGAATGAGGCCGAGGAAGCATCGGTCATTGAACCTGGACTCTTCGGCCCCGACACTCAAAAGCGCATGATGAGCTTGATTATGCTGGACAATGTCCATCTGAGACGTTTCGCTACCAAAAGGCTAGGTTGGCTTACCTGGGATGACCCTGATTATCGACCTGTGGGGGCTTCGCCTACTTCACGAGCTGCCGCGTTCAGAGACTATTCCCTATCCCTCTACCGCGCCTTAGCCGAGCTCAGGCATAATCCGATCGTATTCAGGAAATTCTTTGCCGCCGTGATGGAGGCACATCCCGGCGGCGTACCAGAGAATGTAGCTGCCGCAGCCTCATGGGAAGCGAAGAGGGACAGAAAGCTGAGGGAAAAGGCAAGGAAGAAGCGCGGTGGTGCCGGTGCTGGTAATGCCGGCACTGCTGCTGTCGCCAGAGTGTCTCCTGAAGCTCCTGCTGGTGGCGAGCTTGCAAAGGTTGACGCTGCGGAAGATGGCGATCGGGTAGTACGCGTACTGGCCACATCATAAGCACTGATATTGACGCTAAGAAGAGTCTCGTCAACGACGTGCTGAGGCGAGGCATCAGGGCCATGATCTACCGACTCGAAATATCTCATGCGATTCATTTACTGTTCCAGGACTTTGCGAGTGCCACAGCAAAAGATTGTCTCGAGTCAGACAAGGAGGTCAACTTCCTGGCCGATCCGCTTCCAGGCCCTAAATCGCGTGTGTCGTGGGATTCTCTACTGGCACACCTACGACGATTTGCGGAGATTCTCAAAACGCTGCTTGTGGACGATGGTTTGCTTCACTCGTCACCTTGGATTAGGCAGAACTTTCAACGCGAGACTTGCAATGGAGAGTGGGAGTCGAGAGCTGCCGTGGGGATGTCACACATGACCCCGTGGGCACTTCCTACTACTTTTCTTCCTTTTGAACATCGTTTCGCACGCAACATCGGCGCACTCCAGCGGGACGAGCAGGCCCTGGTCGACGATTTGCAGCTACTCAACCACGGAGACGGAGAGGCTGCTGGATTCATCGGCATGTGGCGTGTCATTCATGAGATGGCCAACAACGTGGGAGACATGTCGGAGCGTGGCTACTTTGAGAGCCAAAATACTAGGGGTCTTGCGAATACTCTGCACCATGTTTTGAGATGGAGCCGCATCATGGAAACGATCCATCCACTTCGCCTCAGTCCTCAGCAGTACGATGCACTGCTCAACGACTCAAAGCATCTTGGA